GCACGACCTATGGGCTACTGCTAACAGTACTTAGCCTTCATGGCAAGGGCCATCTTGTTCCATTGCGGACGCTGGGGCGTTCGAGCCGAGCATGGGTGGGCGCGCGCCAAGTCGGTTGCTCAAGAGAGCTGAGTTTGGCGTGCGTCAGCCTGTTCCTCCACCAATTGTGGTCACCTGCCAGCTTCCACTATTGGTTAAGAAAAGGCTGGCGCCGCACCAAACCCAGCCACCTTAAAGCGGCCTGGCGTTAGCAGCGAACAAGACTGTAGAACAAGCGGAGGTCATATTGCGGGATAGTTCCGTTGCCGATTGGGATTCGATATAGAGCCCTCAGATCTTTTGAGGGTAGGTGAGATAAAGGGAACCAAAGGGGCTAAGGGTAAGGAAGTCATGTGGTGATCGCAGCCCATCATAACTCGACCTTTAATTTAGCGCTTGCTAGGGTATAACCACGATGGATAGGGTATTTTCAGGTAGGTGTACAGTAAAATTATCATCAAAATTATGAACAGTTCGCCTTTTGTGCCTTATGTAAGCGCGTAGGTGTTATTGTAGCATTTATGGCAGAACGGGCGACGATCGACCTCTTTGAATGTGCCCTTTGTAAGTTGTCGATTACAGTAAGAACATCGGAAATGTTCTGGATGGAATTTTCTGCCAATTGCCGTCACACAACGGCCTGAGATCGGTGCACGACATTCGTGACACAGTGAACCACGACGCTCGTGATAATGCGTCTCACATAACGGTTGGCCGCCATCGTCGAAGAACGTGCCACCGCCGAACGAACTGCCGCACATCTGTAGAAGGACAGACAACACTCCACAACACTCCACACTGACATTTAAGAAAGAAAAAGCAAGCATCGATTAATAAAATCTATATGAAAACACACGACTTGTCTCAAAAGTCCCCATCGAAGACGGCTTTCGCAGAGCCTGATGTAAAGGCACCTCCACGATAGCGAAACTTGGGTAGAGGAGCTCAGATATGAAACTAAGGGCTATGCGAAAGAGGATAAACGAAGTAAGCGAAAGAAATTACTGAAGCCATAGACGGAGCGAGATCGTATTCCTTGCTGCAGCTCTTGCGATAGGGGAGGGGGCGGGGAAATAATCCGCGTTCACAGCGGCATCAGTCGTTAGCCCTTAAAAGGCACAGGTCCGACTGCAAATTGCGGGAAACGGAACTCAAATAGGCACAAAAAAAGTGCTAAGTATCTGATTAGCGGAGAAAAGCAGCAGAAAAAGCAGTCCGAAATGTTATAGAGAAAGATAACATAGTGCGGTTAAACTAGCTGCGTAATGCATAGCCAGCCGCGTGGAGGGTCGCATGGGCCTAAGGGGTGTCCATGGGCCTAATTAATCAGCTTCTAGCGGAGTTCTTGCCGTTTTTCACATTTTGAAAGTAGCGCAGCCTCAAAAATCGCCTTCCGGATCGTCCGACACATTTGAGAGGTCATAGCCTTATTTTTTCGCGGAATGTGCCTTTAAACGCTCCTGCCATGTATTCTCGAATGACCAAAGTGGCAAAAACTGACAAAGTGAAAGCGGTGGAGGGACAACTCAATAGTTACGAATCTACCCTTTTTACACTCGATATCCCGACGATGGAGAGGGCGTAGCCGTGTACATTTCATACGGCCTGTAAGCGTTGGCTTGCGCTTATAGAGCCCGACTATTGCTTAGGGAGTTGTAATCATACCTTTTAATCAGAACAAGACAGCATGGCATTGTCTCCCAATGGAAACATCCCACGAGAAACATATTCTACGGGACGCTCAAATGGAGTACTCAGCCACGCCCACACCATCTCTTGGATAAGGAGTGTACATGGAAGGAATCGAATGGCGTTGTTCGGTCTAGATGTCGAAGGGGGTGCGGGGATTCCGCAGTTTCTTTTGCTAGTTCCTGTTAAATTACCTGCCTCACATTAGTGAAGGCCTGTAGCCTGCTAACTCTTGTCAAGAGAAAGAAGCTCGCCCAGTTTTACAAGATTCTACAAGTCTTCACAGGAGGAGTGATTGACGGGAAGGAGCAAGTGCACCCACCAAACCGAACTGCGCCATCGAATTTTTCAATGAATCGTGGACTCTGCCTTCAAATTGGGATAGCACAGAAAGAAAAGCCGCGCAGACGAGCTGAGCTGAGCTGAGCTCCAGGAAATGGATAGAAAAGCCAACTGTAATCTGTTCTAGAGAAAAGGTACTACAGGAGCTAGGAGCTAGCTCAAAATGACTACGGCAGTTCGAACGCGGGTGTAACAGCAGTCACTGGTAATTCAAACGAATATCCAAAGCATGGCGCATCTCAAGAATCTCCGTCAGCGCTCCAGGTTCTACGGAAACATGTAACACTTTTAAGAAATTTCTGATGCCCTCTATGTAAAGCCAATAGATGCCTGACGTTTGAGACAACTCGTGACAATTACCTCAAAAGTTCCCTGATCTTCTTTGATATTCCACTAATACATAAACTACCTTGTTACCAGCAGAA